AGATCAAGTAAAATGAACCATTTCAAAAAAGCCACAGGATGTCAAAAAGAATGTACACCAAAACAAATGCAGCATGCAGTTTAGAAAAAAAACTGTCATCATCAGAACTGCAAAATACAAAGCATCTTAAACTTCATTGAGAAAACTCCCAAGCTACCAAATCTAGTGTACTTCAAACAGTAGTCCCTCAGCAGGACTGACATTCCTAGAATCCAAGATAAGACCATTTTTTTCTTTCAACTGCTGCATGTTGAAACCATATCTGATATTCTTTAGAGATAACAAGGTTTGCAAATTAGTTGCAGTGGTGGACATAACAGATTTCAGATTGGCACCATTTTCATTTATGACCCACAAGAAATCATAACAATAACAAGATCTTCAAGATGGTTGCCATGATGGCCATATTTTAAATATGACCAACCATCTGGGAGAAGTAGGGATAAATAGATTTCCAAGATGGCCATGGTATCAGCCATGCTAAAAGTTAGACTGGTACCATTTTCATTTACAATGAACTGGATATCATAAGAAGTATTTTAGTGAAAATCCATTGATGATATGACTGTTCATTCATGAAGAAAAGCAACAAGAATTTTAAGCCAGCCACTGTGGCACATATACTTAAGTCGAATGGCAAGAGTTTCATCTGGGACCCAGATGGATATCGGATCAAAATCATAAAAAGTCTTGTGGTGATAACTCCATGGTAATATTACTTTTCATTCAGGTGGAGTAATAATAACATTTTCAAGATGGCCACTTTGGCAGCCATAGTGGAGATAAAATCAGCACTATTTCAATTATGACCAGGCAAACTTCAAAAAAGGTCTTCTGAGAAAAATCTTGGCAATAATACTTTTCATTGAGAAACAGTGACAACATGCTTTCCAAAATGGCCACTGTAGCATATTGTTCCTCAGATCAGCACCACATTCTTTAGAACCATGACCAGATGCAATAAGAAGTCTTTTATTGAAAATCCCATGTTGATGACCATCCATTCAGGAGGGCTAGATATAAAAAGATTTTCAAGATGGCTACTTAGGTAGCTATAATAAACATCAAATTGATACCATTTTCATTTAGGACCAACTGGTCCATAGGATGAACAGGTAAGTAAAGTTTCAAGTAATCCTCCAAGTAGCATATAAGTTGCTGCAATAACAAATGCATGGCTGAAAGATAGACAACATACCATTCCACAAGTTATTTCAGTCTATGACCAATAGACCTAAAACAAGAATATCACAAATTTCAAAAACCATGCCCATCTCATTATCTTTTCTCTACTATTAAACTTTGACCTTTGAGCCAGGTCTATTGCATAAAAAGGTATGTACCTGGAAAGGTAACAGCCTGGAAAAGTTTCATCAAAATGACTGCAGGGGTTCAAAGTAACAGCCTGGATCAAGTTGCATCAATTATCTGTAGGGGTTTAAAGTAACAGCCTGGATAAGGAAACTAGCCAATGACCTACAATTTTTCTACCTTGACCCTGGTACAGAGGTATGATTTGGAATACATAATACACAGCCAAGTCATGACACAGAACAGGTTATAAGTTTTTTTTTTAAATATCGGTATTGGTTCAGAAGTTATCCTTGTATATGGATAGTGGTCACCAATCTATATTCCCTTGCTGTGACCTTGAACTTAAAGCAGGAAGACTGGCAATGTGAAGCAGTGACAAGTCATCATATACAACTGGTTAATGCTTCATGGAATATCTAAAAGGTTTCACAAGTTATTTTCTCCACAAGGATACAATACATTTTGCCTTCCTGTGGCCTACAGATGAAAGCAGGAAGCATGGCTTTACACACCATCTGTGTGTGAGTGTGTGTATAACATTATAATATCTTTGGTGACTCAGAATTTATTCTACATACAAGGATACAAGTTACATAATTACATTTTCCCTTTCTGTGACCTTGACCCTTAGGCAGAAGCATGTTTATGGAGTGTGACACATTATCCAATCCTGACTTGGGCAAAAGTTTAGTAAAATGTCTTCAGTGTTTCAAATGTTATACTTTTGGAGAAGGATATGTGTCACTGAAAATTCCTTGCTATTCTAAAGTAATGGCTCAAAAAAGCAAATGTTTACAAATTGACAAATGGACAGATGCATAATGTCATAATAAGTTAAGGGAGGCATATAAAAACATACCTGTTTAACCGGATGTGCAGAAATGCCAGCGTCCAATAGAATATACTGATCATAAATATCTACCTTCCTAACATCTACCTTTTAAATCAAATAGTACACTAGCAGTATCTTCATGGTACACTTGAAGTACTGTTATGTTCATGGTATACTAGAAGTACTGAAATATTTATGGTATACTAGAAGTACTGTTATGTTCAAGGTATACTAGAAGTACTGTTATGTTCATGGTATACTAGAAGTACTGTTATGTTCATGGTATACTAGAAGTACTGTTATGTTCATGGTATACTAGAAGTACTGTTATGTTCATGGTATACTGAAAGTACTGAAATATTTGTGGTATACTAGAAGTACTGTTATGTTCATGGTATACTAGAAATACTTTTATGTTCATGGTATACTAGAATTACTTTAATATTCATTGTATACTAGAAGTACTGTCATGTTTATGGCAAACTAGAAGTACTGTTATGTTCATGGTATTACTAGAAGTACTGTTATGTTTATGTTATACTAGAAGTACTGTTATGTTTATGGTATACTAGAAGTACTGTTATATTTGTGATATACTAGGAGTACTTTTATGTTCATGGTATACTAGAATTACTTTAATATTCATTGTATAGTAGAACTACTGTTATGTTTATGGCATACTAGAAGTACTGATATGTTCATGGTATTACTAGAAGTACTGTTATGTTTATGTTATACTGGAAGTACTGTTGTGTTCATGGTATATACAGAGAAATAATGTTATGTTCATGGTATACTAGAAGTACTGTTATGTTAATTATGTACTAGAAGTACTGTTATGCTCATGGTTTTACTAGAAGGTCTGTTATGTTCATAGTATACTAGAAGTATTGTTACATTCATGGTATACTAAAATTACTGTTATGTTTATTGTATACTATAAATACTGTTATGTTCATGGTATACAAGAATTTAATGTTCATGGTATACTAAAAGTACTGTTATGTTTATTGTATACTAGTAGTACTGTTATGTTTATGGTATACTAGAAGTACTATTATGTTCATGGTATACTAGAAGTACTGTTATCTTTATTGTATACTAGAAGTACTGTTGTGTTCATGGCATTACTAGAAGTACTGTTATATACATGGTATACTAGAATTAATTTAATTTTCATGGCATACTAGAAGTACTGTTATGTTTATGGTATACTACGAGTACTGTTATGTTTATGGTATACTAAAAGAAATGTTATGTTCATAGTGTACTAGAAGTGCTGTTATGTTTATGGTATATTAGAAGTACTGTTATGTTCATGGTATACTAAAATTACTTTAAGGTTCATGGTGTACTAGAAGTACAGTAATGTTAATGGTATACTAGAAGTACTGTTTTTTTCATGGTATATTCGAATTACCGTAATGTTCATGGTATAATAGAATTACTTTAATGTTCAAGGTATACTAGAAGTACTCTTATGTTCATGGTATACTAAAGATACTATTATGTTTATAGTATACTAGAAGTACTGTTATGTTCATGGTATACTAGAATTAATTTAATGTTCATGGTATACTAGAATTACTTTAATGTTCATGTTATAATAAAAAATACTGTTATGTTCATGATATACTAAAAGTACTGTTATGTTTATGATACACTAGAAATACTGTTATGTTCATGGCATACCAGAATTAATTTAATGTTCATGCTATTACTAGAAGTACTGTAATGTTCAAGGTATACTAGAAGTACTATAATGTTCAAGGCATATTATAAGCACTGTTATGTACATGGCATACTAGAAGTACTGCAATGTTCTTGGTAAACTAGAAGTAGTTATATTTATGGTATACTAGAAGTACTGTTATGTTCATGGTATTACTAGATGTACTGTAATGTTCATGGTATATTAGAAGTACTGTAATGTTCATGGTATACTAGAATTACTTTAATGTTCATGTTATAATAGAAGTACTGTTATTTTCATGGTTACTAGAAGTACTGTAAAATTCAAGGTAACTATGTTCAAGGTATACTAGAAGTAGTAATGTTCAAGGTATACTGTAGGTACTGTTATGTACATAGTATATTAAAAGTACTGCAATGTTCCTGGTAGACTAGAAGTACTGTTATGTTTATGGTATACTAGAATTACTTTATTATTCATGGTATACTAGATGTACGGTAATGTTCATGGTATACTAGAAGTTCTGTAAAGTTCAAGGTAAGTATAAGTACTGTAATATTCATGGTATATTAGAAGTAGTAATGTTCAAGGTATACTATAAGTATTGTTATGTACATGGTTACTAGAAATACTGTAAAGTTCAAGGCAACTATAAGTACTGTAATGTTCAAGGTATACTAGAAGTAGTAATGTTCAAGGTATACTGTAAGTACTGTTATGTACATGGTATATTAGAAGTACTGCAATGTTGTTGGTAAACTAGAAGTACTGAAATGTTCATGGTATACTAGAAATACTGTTATGTACATGGTATACTAGAAGTACTGTAATGTTCATGGTATACTTTAAGTAATAGAATGTACATGGTATACCAGAAGTAATGTTATGTGCATGGTATACTAGAAGTACTGTATGTTCATGGTATACTAGAAGTAATGTTATATTCTTGGCATACTGGAAGTACCCTTTCTTTCATTATATACTGAAGTACTGTATATTCATGGTATACTGGCAGTACTATTCTGTTCATGTTAAACTGAAACTGTGTGTGTGTGTGTGTGTGTGTGTGTGTGATTTTGATTTTTATCATAGCTAACACTAACCTCTAAATGCTGAGTACCAAGCGAGGCAGCTGTTAGTACCATTTTTATGTCTTTGGTATGACTCGGCAGGAGTTTAAACCCATGACCACCTGCATCTGAGGCAGACACTCTAACCACTAAGCCACCAAAGCAGTCACCATGAAACTTCTTTGATTGATAATTATTACATGAATGAACAAAAGGTATTGTCAATAGGTTGTAACACAAACAGCCAAATGGGATCAACATCTCTGATATTCAGGTTTTCATCTTCTGGTCAGCACTATTAGCTGACAGCAGATTTCCCTTTGATAATCTTCTTCTGGATGTAGTCAGTTTAGTCTTTAGAATATAGTAGCATTAAAAATAACCGTATTCTATGATTCAATGTCAGAAAGAAAATCACCAAAACATTAACAGGCATGGGATATAAGAAGGCAGGCAGAAATATAGCATGACCTAGTTTACCCAGCCCACTTATGACCAGCACTGAACCTGCAATACATAATCTTTGTTATGGAGTTAATAATTTTCTGGAAAATGTAATTGGAAAAAAAAATGATCATTTTAATCAGCACATAAATTATCTGAAGTGCAAGAAAAATAATAATATTCTAATATCTGAATATTTATATTAATGATAGCATATTACATAAATATCAGTACTTTAGCTCTTGAAACATGTGCCAAACTGATGAAGTCTGAATTCAGTTCTTGAAGCAAGTGCTAACTACTGATTCAGAGTACTGCAGAAGTTATAAAATGTACTACTTTGTAAATCGAGGCCAACTTAACCTGAGCTCAGCAAAAAAGCAAGGCTGTATAAACAAATGCATAAAGTTATAATGAGGTTGGTAACAAACATTGCTGTATAAAAAATGGATCACATTATACTGAGGTCTGCAACTAGCATGGTTGTGTAAATAAATGGGTCAAATTATACTGAGGTCTATAACAAGCAGGACTGTATCAATACATGGACAAAATTACCAAGGTCTGTATCAAGCATGAGTGTACAGAAATGGGTCAAGTGGTACTGAAGTCTGTAACAAGTGTGACTGTAAATAAGCAGGTCCACATATACAGAGTCTGTAACAAGCATGGCTGTATAAATAAATGTGTCAGGTTATATATTGAGGTCTGTAACATGTACGTCAGTGTAAATAAATGGATCAAAATTACAATGAGGTCTATAACCAGCATGAGTGTAATTACACGACTCAGGTTATACTGAGGTCTGTAGCAAGCATGACTGTATAAATGCGATCTATAACAAGTATGGCAGTTTAAATGGGTCAAATTACACTGAGGTATGTAACAAGCATGAGTTTGTACAAAATAGCCAAGTACTGCGATCTGTAAATGCATGGCAGTGTAAATAAATAAGTCAAATTACACTGAGGTCTTTAATAAGCATGACTGTGCAAAACCAATTGGCCATGCTGTTAACAGTGAACCAAGTCATATTGAGGTATATAACAAGCATGGCTGTCTAAACAAAATGAGTCAAAATAGACTGAAGTATTTAACAAGCACTGCAGTGTAAATAAATGAGTCAACTTACATAATGATGTCTTTAACAAGCCTGACTGTACAGAAATGGGCAAAGTGGAACTGAGGTCTGTAACAAATATGACCATGTAAATAAATAGACCAACTTATGTACTGAGGTCTGTAACAAGTATGACTGTGTAAAAAAACAGGCCAAATTATGATGAGGTCTTTAATAAGCATGGCAATGTAAATATAAGGGCCCAAGTCATAATGAATCTGCAACAAGGATGATGACTGTATATAAACAGGACAAGTAATAAACAGAACCACACAAGTAGGGTATTTACTAATGTGAAACCACATTATAATTTGTTCTTATCAGTTCATCCCACTACCTGAAGCTATCTGGGACTGCACCAGTCCATCCCTACAACTGAAACTATCTGAGACAGCATCAGTTTATCCATATACCTGAAACTATCTGGGACTGTCAACAGTCCATCCCTACACCTGAAACTATCTGGGACTGTCAACAGTCCATCCCTACACCTGAAACTATCTGGGACTGTCAACAGTCCATCCCTACACCTGAAACTATCTGGGACTGTCAACAGTCCATCCATACACCTGAAACTATCTGGGACTGGATTATACTGAGATATTTTTAGTAAGAGACAAAGGAATCAACAAGTCCTTTTAGAGATGAATATATCTGTGTCTTTTAAGGGACAAATAATGATAATCTTACTCAGTGATACTCACCTTCACGCAGTTGTTGCTGGAGTATGTAATAATCATGAAGTTCATCCAACTGAAAACAGATTTTTAAAAAAAAATATTATTCAAAAGAATAACATCTGTCATAGGTCATAAGAATATAATTTGTCACTGCCTCGTAAAATACATTCTGTCATAGGCCAAGAGAGTACAATTTGTCACAGGCCAATGGAGTAAAATTTGTCATAGGCCAATAGAATACAATTTGTCATAGGCCAATAAAGTATGATTTGTCATAAGTCAATAGAATACAATTTGTCATAGGCCAATATAATATGATCTGTCAGCGGACAATCAAATACATTTTGTCATAGGTCAATAGAATACATTTTGTAAGAAGCCAAGAGAACTGTTGTACTCAATTATTTTGAACATAAGAAAATGTATAATTCCTTATTGTGTTAATGACATATTTCAATGAATTATAACCTTGTCAATATATACATGAGTGTTAAAATCCAAAACTGAAAAGGGGTTTTCTACAACATATTAAGTTTCAATGACATGGCCATAACATTAGTAAAAATGTCTTCTAAAACAACATGAATATGACATATACTGTGGGGAATAATATAAGGTTTATGACACTCTACTGATGAACATGATGCTCAAGCAAACAAGACGCTTCTCACCTGTCTGATATCTGCCAAGTAACCAAATGTTCAAGCAAACAAGAGACTGCTCAACTGGTTGATATCTGCCAAGTAACCAGAGGCTCATGCAGACAAGAGATTGCTCAACTGTCTGATATCTGCCAAATAATCAGGTGTGCAAGCTCACAAGACTGTTCAACTGGCTGATATTTGCCAAGTAACCAGAGTCTCAAGCCGAGAAGAGACTGCTCAACTGGCTGATATTTGCCAAGTAACCAGATGCAGAAGCAGTAATCCAAATGTCTTATGTCAAATGTGATTCACTCTGATACAGTGTTTTTTTATTAACTCTGGTGGAGCGGTTTTTGATTAATTCTGGTGGAGCAGTTTTTGATTAACTCTGGTGAAGCTGTTTTTGATTTACTCTGGTGGAGCAGTTTTTGATTAACTCTGGTATAGTGGTTTTTGATTAACTCTGGTGGAGTGGTTTTTGATTAACTCTGGTGGAACAGTTTTTGATTAACTCTGGTGAAGCAGTTTTTGATTAACTCTGGTGGAGCAGTTTTTTATTAACTCTGGTGGGGCAGTTTTTGATTAACTGGTGGAGCAGTTTTTGATTAACTCTGGTGGAGCAGTTTTTGATTACCTCTAGTGAAGCAGTTTTTGATTAACTCTAGTGGAGCAGTTTTTGATTTCTTCTGGTGAAGCAGTTTTTGATTAATTCTGGTGGAGCAGTTTTTGATTAACTCTGCAAGAGTTGCTCTTTTTAACTCCGGTGGAGTGATTTTTGTTTTGCCAATTTTAGTAACAGTAGCCATATATGATGCTGGATCAGCATTTTTTTACAAATATTTGAAATGCCTGCTCAGCATTTTCTTTTGTTTACAAACACCTGAAATGCACTGATAAAGTTTGATACCAAAATCTACACAACTGTGTGTCACATTTGGCCAAATTCTGTTTGGCATTTTTTTTTTTTAAAAAAAAGGAACAAATATATGTATAATTTGAACAAAACTTTAAAGTCTTTGATAAAAGGATACTAAGCAGTTTTTTTAAAAAAAACAATTTTGTTAAAGTTTAAATTCTCTTTTCAAATGGCAATATGCTACACTAGAAACAAAAATGTAGGAAAATATTTCAAAATACGATCTTTCCATGAAAGTAAAATCAATCTAAAAAAGGTTACATGTGCAATTGAAAATTTTTGCATGGTAAATAGACTGCAAATTATACTAATATTATATTATAGTAGCCAATGTTTGTATATAGTGATTTGCAAGTCAGTGAAATATCACACTGAATATAAACTAATATAGTATTATATTATACTTCTTATACATACTGACCTGCAAGTTGGCATTAATATTGCAATAAAATCAGACTGGAAAATAGACTGCTATACTAATATTGTATTATACACTTTATATTAGTCAATAACTATAAGCTGACTTGCAAGTGGAGAATTATTCTGATTTCTGAATCTGATTTGGTAAGAAACAGTAGATTTTGCTCTCTAGATTTGTCTCATGTCATTAACTTTATTAGAGTGCAAATCAACCAGGGTTTTGTCATATCTGTACTACCACATATATCCACTTATAACTCGAGTCCAACTGTAAACTGCACAGACCCAGATCTGGGTCAATGCATTTTTGCTAGGAATAGTCAGTAGAAAAAGTAGAATAATATTCAGTAGAAAAATTAACACATTCTTTGATCGGGTTAGTGCATTATGTGATGGCATAAAAGGGAATGCAATTGTCTGCAGTTAGTCTTGACTAATAAGTGAGTATATACAGTGTGTTGGGTTTGTAAATTAAAATTGTTTCCCATCTCTGGCTTATACACCAACAATAAAAACAAATAATTCAAGTTTTGGGGATAAATATATATATATATATATATATATATATATATATATATATATATATATATATGGTATTGGAACCTAATGCTTGCTGTCAGTGGATCAAAGATTTGTATCTGAATTCAGAAGAAAACTGAAATAATACCTTTGCAAGATGGAATTCTAGTCTCTTCAAGTAACGTTCAGCTGACTTGATTTGCTGGAACAAAGAAAAACAACTTGTGTAAGGGTTAACATTTTTTTCAAGTACATTACGACCCTCGCCTCTCACAAATCACATACCATAAAATGCTCATCAGAGGTGAGACTACTGTAAAGAAAACAAAAATGTTTTCTATAAATAGCTTAAGTAAAATGATTAAGCAAAATGTATGGATGATGATGATGATAATGATTATACTGAGGTAGGCAATAATTTTCAA